TCATTTGGGCTCAATTTCATTTATTAATAGATTTGGAAACCAGGTCTCTCATGCCTAATGGCCGCTATACATATAGCATGATCCTATGTATGTTTACTTGGAAGTAAAGACAGGTGCAGGGATTTTGAAATGGCAAATGCTCCCACCTTGGCTCACCCAGTGCTGCCAAGGTCATGTACCCAGTCAGCAACCCAACTGCTGGGTCAGAGGAGAAGGGTGTAAGATAAGGTTACCAGATTTTTTTCAATGAATCCGGTGACACTTTTCAACTTCAGTAAGAAGGATAGGATTTTGTAAATCTGGGGGCTATCCCCAGGAAGCGGGGACGTCTGGTAACATTAGTGTAAGAGCATATGAAGAACTCTGCTAGATCTGGCCAAAGGTCTGTCTAATCAAGCATTCTAAAGCCAGCCAGATGCTTCAGACACAGACAGCCTCCGACAATGGAGGCAGAGCCCAGACATTGTGGTCAGCAGCCACTGATGAGGTTTGTTTTCATCTATAATAAACAGGTGTAATAGAATTGGCAACAAGAAATCAGGGGATGCAGAAGGGGAAAGAGTACTTTAAAAATTGGAGAGCAGTGTCACCTAGTGGCTTTGGGCTGTCACTACCCACCCGAAGATGTCACGCTGCAGAAACAATTGGTGGTTATTGATCAGGGGTCAGCAAACTTTTTCAGCAGGGGGCCAGTCCACTGTTCCTCAGACCTTGTGGAGGTGCGGACTATATTTGGGGGGGGAATGAACGAATTTCTATGCCCCACAAATAACCCAGAGATGCATTTTAAATGAAAGCACACATTCTACTCGTGTAAAAACACCAGGCAGGCCCCACAAATAACCCAGAGGTGCATTTTAAATAAAAGGACACGTTCTACTCATGTAAAAACACGCTGATTCCCGGACCGTCCACTGGCCAGATTTTGAAGGCGATTGGGACAGATCCAGCCCCTGGGCCTTAGTTTGCTTACCCATGTTATTGATGAAGCCTACAGAAACATTACCGTTTCGTATACAGGACTGGTCATGCCATGCCCTTTTGTGTGTGAAGAGACATGAATGCAGGATGTTTGAATTTTTTTAAAAAATGAGTTGTCCCTAGCAAAGAAGGGAGGCAACATTTGAGCTGCTCTTTAGGTAGCAAATATATATTGGGTTCACATTCTTCATACAGGAGATTATATATATGTGTGTGTGTGTGTGTGTGTGTGTGTGTGTGTGTATGGCATGTTGTTACAACAGGCATCTTACCAAGCAGGAAGGGTGGATCCAAATGGTCCGCATCTTCCAGGCGTGCCTGGAGTTGTTCAGCGACCACCCACTCAATTACTTTGCCCAAGAATGGAAGATTTGAGACTGGGTGATAATTGGCCATAATGGTCAGGTCCAAAGATGTTCTTTTAAGAAGCGGTTTAATAATCACTTCTTTAAGGGAGTCTGGGAAGGCTCCCTCACGGAGGGAAGCATTCACCACCCCACAAAGCCCTTTGCCCAAGCCCTACCTGGATCGCTTTTATGAGCCAGGATGGGCAAGGATCAAGAAGACAGGTGGTCGGTTTCACTCATACAAGCAGCCTCTCCACATCCTCAGAGGTAACAGATTGGAATTGACCCCATACAACCTGGCTAGGCAGAGCTCTGACACTTGCCCAGTCCAGCCCTGCCCCCACAGTGGAGTCTACCTTCTTCCAAAGCTGAGCTATTTTATCTGCAAAGAACTTTGTAAAGTCATTACAGGAGATTTTGGAGTCCTCACCAGACTATGAACCACCTGCTGGGCATTGAAACCACATTTGGTGATATCTTCCTCATCTCTTACATCCTCTGCGCCTGGCATTTAAACAATACAATTTGGCAGGTGTATGATCTATATCTGAAATTTAATGCCACCTCTATTTTTGGAGGAGATAATTTTCCTTGGGGGCTTAGACTATAACAAAATCCATCTATTTTCAGAGATTTCAGCATCTCGTTACTTTTGCATAAGAATTCATTCAGCTCGAAGATGGCTGGAGACACGAGGGCTGTAGACACCTTCAGCTACCCAAAAGAGGGGTGAAGGAATGGAATAATTATAAGAGAAAAATAGAAGGATTCACAGTATTGTAAGACACAGCCTTCAGTTTTTCTGGGTATTCCTTTAACCCCCTACAGCTCCAACAATCCTCTCTTCTCTCTCTCTCTCTCTCTTCCCTTGGCTAAAACAAAACGTAGCATCACACAGTGTGTAATCTGCCTATGGAATCCATTGCCACAAGATGCAGAGTGGCCATCTCTGTGTCTCGTGGCAATGGATTCCACAGATGAATCACACGCCATGTGAATAATGGCTTTTGTTTGTCTGCCCAAATCTACTGTTAGTAAGTTTCACTGGGTGAGCTTCAGTTCTGGAATCACAAGAGGATGAAATATGTCCCTCTGTTTACCGGTATTTATTGTGTTTATTTCTACCTATCTTGTGCCCCACTTGGTCTTCTCTCTTCCCCCCCCCCCACAAAAACCCTTAAAAGTCTCAAATGTTTCAGCCTTTATTTTCAGGGAAGATCCTTGAATCCTCTCGTCGTTTGGGCTGCTCTTTTTTGAACAGAGTGATGGCAGACAACTTCAGTATATTTGCTCATTATACAGGTTTAACCAGGTTCTCTGTGCAGAGATCTTTCATTACACTAGCACTAGTGCGAAAGAACTTTCCCATATATAAAAGGCTGCTTTTGAGTGCTCTTTGCTCCTGGATATAAGCGTGTATTTTGTTTCCAGAAGTCTTCATATTTTTTTCCCTACAGAAATTGTGGCACCTGACAGGTGAGATGGTAGATTTCTAGAGATACTGGAGGAGGCAACATGCATTGTACATGACCACAAAGGGAGACTGCATTGAAAGAGTTTATTGTGTGTTAAAGAGACAGAGAGGTTTCTGCATGCCATTTGTGGAGCACATTTCTCTTCCTGCATGGAGATTCCCTGTTCAGGGGGGGAAACTTACATAGAAAGCAACACCCTGTGGTTGACAAAATACTACCTGCGCTTCAAGCAGGCATCAAAATGTCACACTCCATTATTCTGGATTAGCTAATCAGGGGTGAATATGTTCCTTAGCCCCATATTCATAACCACTAACATGGATTACAACATATTTTTTGTTTGTTGAATTTCTATGCCAAACCCAGATGAAGACAAAAGGGTGTGATTAACTTGGCTGGGAAACAGGGAACTGAAAATATCTCTTTTGTTACACTTGATGGGTGTTTGGTGGAGGGCAAGGGGAGGAATGTGGCAGGGTCCAGGATGCTCAGATTACTGCCACCAGACCTCCCCTTTCATGATGTAACCATGATGTATTAGTGATGTAGTTTGGCAGGGTGTAACATGGGGATTACCAGCTAATGAAATGTTGGGTTCTCTTTTGTACGGGGCTTCCACCTTGTTCCACCTTGTGGCAGGTGGGAGTCCTGTCACGACAGTCTTCAATAAAGACCAAGCCGACGGGCTGCTGTTTTGCTCTGGTATTCCTGGCTGGTGTCCTTCTTTCTTGTCCAAGGGAGCCCTCAGATTTATCCGTTAACAAAGTGGAGATTTGAACCCAGGCCTTCCAGCTCATAGCCCAGCACACTAACCATTACACCACACTGGCTCTCTTGGACTACAGCTCACAGGAACCCTAGTTGTAGCCCGAAACATCTGGAAGGGCAGCAGGTGTTGAAGGCGGCCCTGTAGATTTGGAGGCTTCCTATATCATTGCTGTGTTCATTTATAACCTGTCTTCTTCCCTGAAAGGCACTCAAGGCATCTTACAGCTAAAATAGAAACAGATATAATAAAACATTTGGGGGCGGGATATGTAGCAGTCATCACCACCTGTCAGGGATGCTTTAGTAGTCATTCCAGGGGGTTGGACTAGATGACCCTTGGTATGCCTCTACAATTCTAGGATTAAAAAGCAAGGAAACTTTGGTAGAATGTGTGTGATTTATTATTATTATTTATTAAATTTGTATGTCGCCCTTTATCCATAGATCTCAAGGTAAGGTAAAGGGTAAAGGGACCCCTGATCATTAGGTCCAGTCGTGGCCGACTCTGGGGTTGCGGCACTCATCTCGCTTTACTGGCTGAGGGAGTCAGCGTACAGCTTCCGGGTCATGTGGGCAGCATGACTAAGCCGCTTCTGGCGAACCAGAGCAGCACACGGAAACGCCGTTTACCTTCCCGCTGGAGTGGTACCTATTTATCTACTTGCACTTTGACGTGCTTTTGAACCGCTAGGTTGGCAGGAGCAGGGACCGAGCGACGGGAGCTCACCCCGTTGCGGGGATTCGAACTGCCGACCTTCTGATCGACAAGTCCTAGGCTCTGTAGTTTAATGCACAGCGCCACCCTGTCCCTCAGATCTCAAGGTAGTTCACATCATAAAAACACAATATAAAAAAACACGTGCTTATATAGGCATGAGATTTATTAAAACATACAGATCATTACAACATCATGCCCTATGTTCCAAAAGACGCCGGACAGACATCTCTAGAGGCTGCTCTTGCTCTGCATTTCCTGTCTCTTAGCAGGGGGTTGCTATCCCCGCCCCCTCGAACGCATCTCTCTACGAGCACCGCCCTCTTCCTCTTTTCCCATTCATGATTTTCCCGACTGACGTCACTTCAACGCCCCATCCAATGAGCGAAGCCGTCAGCCTCCCTGCCATTCTCAGCATGGGAAAACTCCTCCCACTACCTCTCCCTTGAAGGGGAGGAGCTCCTCCTCCTGTCTCCTCTTTTTTTTTTTTAACCCCTCCTGGACTAATCCCCTTCCCCCTCCCTTCCCTCCTCACGGCTCTTATTGGTCGGCGGGGGCGTCTAACCCCGCCTCTTCCCCCCCACATAAATCTCTCGGGGTTTTTCTTTACAAAGTCCCCGCCCCGCAGTCCAGAGCGAGCTCACTCGGGGTAAAAAAAAAAAAAAAACACCGACCGGCTTGGAGCGACATACGTCTCTCCCAATGAGAGACTGCTTTGCGAGAGATGCTTCTGTCCCATTGAGCTGAGAGAGGGCGTCCGCCCGCCTCCCGCTGCCTCGCCCCGCCCCTCCGCCTGGTGGGCGTGCGGAAGAAAGTGGGCGGGGCGGGCGAGAGTCTGCGGCGGCGGAGAGTCGGGCGGTGGGAGCGAAGGCAGAGCGAGTCGCCCCGCTGTTTGATCCCCCCGCCCCCCCTCCTGAGGGAACACCAACGGCCGGAAAGTGACGGTTGAGGGTGCAGGGGCGCGCGAGGGGCTTCTTTTCCCGCCCTTTTCTGACGGGTGGGGGGAGGGAGGGAAGAAAAGCCTTTTTCTGAGGGGAATCGCTGAGGCGGCGGCGGCGGCGGCCGGTTCCTCCCTCCGCCAACCGCGGCGGGCCGCGCCCTCAGCTCCGCCGCCGGGTGAGGAGGGGCGATGGGCGGGCCGGTGGTCTCCTAGCTCCGCCGCCGCCGTCGTGGCCCGCCGCCCGCCCGCTCCGAGGCCCGAGAGCGGCCCCCGCGGCTCCCCAGCCCGCCGCCCTCTGTTGTCGTCGTCGTCCTCCTCCTCTCTCCGCGGCCTGCCATGTCCGGGGTGGTGCGGACCCTGAGCCGCTGCCTCCTGTCGGCCGACGCGGCGTCGGGCCGGGGCGAGAGGCCGCCGCCGCCGGGCGAAGGGGGAAAGGAAGGCGGGCGGGACGCGGAGCGCGAGGCCCGGCGCCGCAGCCGCGAGATCGACGCGATGCTGGCCCGCGAGCGGCGCTCGGTGCGGCGCCTGGTCAAGATCCTGCTGCTGGGCGCCGGCGAGAGCGGCAAGTCCACCTTCCTCAAGCAGATGCGCATCATCCACGGCCGCGAGTTCGACCAGAAGGCGCTGCTGGAGTTCAGGGCCACCATCTACGAGAACGCCCTCAAGGTGAGCGGGGGAAGGTGGGGAAAGGTTTAAAAAGGGGGGTGAGCTTCAATAAATTGTATATGCTTAGGTGGCATTGTCTTCACTTTTCCTCATCCCTCCTCGTCCCGTTTTTCCTTTCGTGACGTGTCTTAAGCCTTGAGGGCAGGGGGGTCCTTCTTGAAACCGCTGGGCTGGTTTGCTTGCTGGCTTGCCTGCCCCCTCTGTATCCCAGCTTCCCTCTCAAGGGGGTGTGCAGGGTCCCCTCACAAGAACCCCGTGAAGTAGGTTTAGGTTGACAGGAAGACAGTGACAGGGCTGAGATCACCCAGCGTGCTTCAGGATTTGAACCCTGGCCTCCCACGTCCTGGTTGTTAACACTGCCAGACGTTGGGAGAGTCGGGTCAAATTCTTCATGCAACACAGAGTCAGCCTACAGAACTCACTCCCACTGCAGCCAAAGATGGCCACCAATTTGCCTGGCTTTGAAAGTGAATTAGACAAATCGGTGGAGGAGGAAAGGGCTGTCAGTGGCTCCTGGCCGTGATGGCTATGCTTTGGCTGCACAGTCCCTGAGGGAGCAGAGCTTATGAATACCAGTTTCTGGCAAACACAGGAGGGGAGTGGGCTCTTGTGTTCAGGTTCTGCTTGCATGTTTGCCATTGGGGCATCTGGTTGGCCACTGGGAGAAGAGGATGCTAGACTAGCTGGGCCCTTGGCCTGATGATGATGATGATTCAACTTTCAGCAACGCTTTTCTAATGCCAGCATGGCCAATAGGTATGGATGATAAGAGTTGGAGTCCAGCAACATCTGGAGGTCCAAAGGTTTGCATTGACTTAGGAATGCTGTTTTGAGTGGTGTACAGAATGCCCTGAATAAGTAGGTTGAAGTAAAATGGAAGTGTAAGGCATACTGAAACAAATGACTGGGGAAAACAGTGCCAGCACTTCTCATACGAGCCAGACGATGGGTGGAATGAGTGTGGTGAGGCTGTTATGCGTTCTGTTTAGTGTGCATTGATTCTGAGGGAAAGAAGTGTGTTTTGTAAGGTAGGAGATGAGAAGCAGGCAACTGGTGGTGGAATTGTGTGTTGCTTTGAATGGTTTGATTAATAACTAGAAAGCTGTGCCATAAGTATATTTAATAAAATAAACTGGAGGAATATATGGAAGGCAGCCTGTCAAGTCATAATAATAAAATGATTATTACAGTGGTACCTCGGGTTACGTACGCTTCAGGTTACAGACCCCGCTAACTCAGAAATAGTGCTTCAGGTTAAGAACTTTGCTTCAGGATAAGAACAGAAATCGTGTTCCGGTGGCGCGGTGGCAGCAGGAGGCCCCTTTATAGCTAAAGTGGTAGTTCAGGTTAAGAACAGTTTCAGGTTAAGAACAGACCTCCGGAAAGAATTAAGTACATAACCCGAGGTACCACTGTATGCTACTTTCCCTCACACGTCAATGTATGTGCTTCATATACATCCAGTTCAACTTTACAATGATCCTGTAAGGTAGGAGAGCTAGGCGACGGGTGGAGTTGTGTAAGGTGGAGGTGATACCAGTGTGGGTACAAAGAGATGGGCTGTCAGTGTTATGCTAGGTTGCATTATATTGCTTTTCCTAAGTAGTCTGTTTTCTATAATTTATTTGAATGATTCTTGGAACAGTGTTCTTGGTACCACTGTACTTGGGATCATAGAATTGTAGAGTTAGAAGGGACCCAAAGAGTAATCTAGTCCATCCCCTGCAATGCTTCATACAACTTTGTATCCATTGGGTTGGTTGACACAAAAGGATAAGCCAAACCATATCTTACCAGGACTGCATAAACATATGGACTCCCAGAGAGAAGCTCACAGCTGCTTTACTCCTGTACCTCACAGAGCTAAGCATGTCATCCAAACCGGGACTTATGGTTAAGCTCTCTCATTGCTAGCCATGGTTTACTGTTGGCTGCAGATCATGGTTAGTGAGAAAAAGAGCATAACCATAAGTCCCGGTTTCGATAACATGGTAAACCAAACCATTACTTAGTTCAGAGTAGGAACAAAAAAGGACTGGGAAAGGAGCAAAGAAACTGCAAGGTCTATGGAAGGCCATGTATTTGTGCGGTCCCAGTGAGCCACAGTTTAGCTTACTGTGTTGTGCAAACCATTCTTGAAATAGTCCTGTAAGACCAATATTTGGAAGCCAACTTTTCTCAGTGTTCCAGTTCTCATTTCTTCCCTCTTTCTCCTATGCATCCTGAATAGCCCTGTCCCACACCTCCTGGATTATGGCTGTGTTTCAATGTTTTGATTGTCTGTTGTTCAAATGGAATTATGTGGGAGGTGCAGATTACAGTACATCATTTCCCTTTGTGGTATGTCCAGGTGTGAGAAGTAATGGTGTTCTCCATTACCTCTTGGTGTAACCTTCCTGCCTAAATTCCCGAGACTGACATGGAGGAGAGAAGGGCCCAGTTCCAGGTTTCTGGAAATGGAGGATGGGATGATAGAAACTTATGCCATCACCAAGTATATAGACTCCCTGGAAAGGAGTTTACGCACCCTTCATCACACAGTTCCAGTGTAGCTTACCACCATATAAGCAAAACATATTCAAATTCAATAAAACAATTTAAAACAAACTGAAGACTGTACCTCAGACAATGTAGATGGTCTCACAAAATTCATACTACTTAAATGTTGAAAGCCAGGATAAGGAAATGTATCTCCCGCAAATGGCTATATAATGACAATTCTTGGCATACCTCTATGGGGAAGGAGTTGCATATTTTAGGAGTTGTGACAGTCAGTGTCCTCTTCCAGCATCCGTGTTTCCAAGAGTGACAGAATGTGGAATATTGGCTGCTTTCTTATTCTTTGCTTTGTCATTGACATGGATCAAAATCCACAGGTCACCATTAATGTATGTGTTGAAATGAAATAGATGAAAATTGCCCATCTCTGTTTAGAGTTGAATGAAAATGCACGTGTGTGGCTAAAGTGAGCTAAGGAGTTATTAATCTGGGCAGAGTTACACCGGTGCCAGTCCAGTTTTTAACCATGGCAAAGTAAGCTTATTTCTCTCTCCTCTTATGTGAGAACTCCCTCTCCCTTCTATTTTTTGAGCTTAGCTCTGCTTAGAATTGTATATGTACCAGACTTCTTGCTGATTGTGCAATGCTCTAAATTACAGTTTGCAAACCTGGTTAGAAGGGTCACTGAAGCTGACCTTGGTAATTGCAATGTATTAAAATGACATCTAGAATAACAGGTGTTGAACCTATGGTATGTGGACTCAGTATGTCCACACTGGCCACCTCAGAACAAATTCAACTCAACTCAAACCTAGCCATTTGCACATATTGCTGTCTTAGAATATATACTAAGAGGGGAGGTGTAGAGTTGGAGGAACAAGGAACTCAGGAAAAATATGCACACCCTGCCAACTGCACAGACTTGTTTTTAGATATTGCTCCCCAGCCTTCAGGGTTAAAAACTTTCCTTTAAAAATACCAGGAATCCACATTTTCTGTTGTACAGACAATATAAACCTGAATATTGCAAGCAGGTTCTAGGCTATTGGTTTTGACAACTATACTGTAATGCTTCTGAAGAGCTGCATTATTCGGTAGGTTCACTTAAAAAAAGCTCTGCTGCTGTACACAACCAATTCTTTATAGCATGAGCTTTCATTGCCAAGAACCTCCTTTATCAGATGTTCTTCTCTACAAACTAATACAATAATAAACATGTTAGTTTTTATGGTGTTACAGAAGTTGGTTTTCTTCTTCTTTGCCACAATATTACTAGTATGTTTGTGGTAATGCTCACAGTGTTCTTGAATGTTACACAGCCCTTGAAAAACAAGCCCCTACTTGGAAATAAGGATATAAATTTGCTCTGAAAAATGTGTTCATAATCATATTGTGGGCAAATTGTATCTGAAACCAAGCAATCACAATAAGCTGCAAGATGGGTGGTTCGTTGGCTGCTGTGCTAAAGGAGGTTATAAATGGGAAGAAGACCTTATGAAGGACTGGCATAAACTAGAAATAATACTCAGCTTTTTAAAACCCATCAACATAGTTTAGCTGTAAGAAAGAAGAGGAAACAGGGAAAAGGTAAAATGAAAGAAGGTGCATTCATGCTCAGATACAGCAGTGGACTGAAGGGTAGCTTTAAATGAGTGGATTTAGAAACCCTTCAGTAGGACAAGGAGGGAGAAGTTGTCATCCTGGAGTTAATGAAGGCGGTACCCTTTGGTACAGGCACATCTTGATCTTCTCACATCATCTTGTATTATTGTCTGCTTGTGACTTAGGTACAGAAATGTGAGGAGCTGTGGATGTGGCACTGAATTTCTGCTGGTAACATGCAAGTGGATAGGAGTATAGTATCTTTCCACAAGACAATTTGTGTTATAGAAGTCATGTGCAAGAGCATTATCAGGTTGTGAGCTATTGTATTGGTATTATAAAAGCAAAAATTGTGTATTCTGACTTGGTGTGATGTAGTGTTTGCCTTTTAAGACTGTGCTTATGACAATGAACATTGGAGTTCAGTAGTTTCATATCAGAATTGTTATTTTTTATAAGACCACTGGCTCAAGTGGCAAGTGTGATACATTTTTCAGTTGCTCTTAGAACATACAAGTATGTGCTGACTAATGGGATTTGGATGTGTTCACTGTCCTAAGCGAACATGTAACTGAGCATTTATTGTTATTTTTTAATGGCTCTTTTTAAAAGAAAAGAAAAAACCTATGTGGTTCTGTTGCTGACACTCTGCATTTTTACTGAATTCACTGAACTATTAATCAATATTGTCCCTAACATTAAACCCTAGAAGAGAACCTGTGAAGTATTTCACTTTAGCAAGCAGTACAGTAGCATTTAGGCCTTCTAGGGAAATTTCATTTTCATTTATCTCATTAAGATTAATTACACAATTATTTATTGTGATATTTTAATGACTTTGTGTAAAGAAGATAGGTGTTTGTATTATGCTCTTCAGGGTTTGAAAATAGTTGCTGTTT